CTTAGGACAGATTCATTCTTTATTGGCCATTTGTGTGCATTCTAATGTACCAGGACCTTTAAGCAAGGGCAATGACCTGGCTGACCTTGCCACCCATATGTTGCCTAATGCTAAATTCACCTTCTTAATTTCATTGTGCCAACAAGATGCTCTTGATGCTGCTAAGGCTGCCCATGTGCTACACCATCTGTATGCCAAAACCCTTCACTTTGCCTTCAATATCACTTGTGATCAAGCCAGTGAAATTGTTAAAGCCTTTTCCGGCTGTGTATACCTTCTGCCTGTCCCACATCTAGGGGTCAACCCCCAACACCTAGTCCCAAATGCACTCTGGCATATGGATGTTACCCATATTCCCTCCTTCGGAAGGCTAAAATTTGTTCATGTCACTGTTGACACATTCAGTGGTTTCATTTTTGCAACTCCACAACCAGGAGAAGCATCTAAAGATGTTATTTCACTGGCTGCTATGAGCACTTTGGGTAAGCCCTCCAAGCTAAAATCAGACAATGGCCCTGGATATATCAGTGCTAATAATTTTGTATGTTCCTACACATTTCCTATGTCACAGGTATACCTTACAATCCTCAGGGACAAGGTATTGTAGAGTGAGCCAATCAGCTCCTTAAAATCATTCTCAACAAACTTAAGGCCTCTACCTTGCCTCTTGAAAATAACAATTTCAGAGCATGTTACACCATGCTCTCTTTGTTCTTAACTTCCTAACAATGGATCAGGATGGCCACTCTGCAGCTGATTGTGTCTGGCATCCTGCCACAACCAAGTCACACGCTTTAATAAAGTGGAGAGATCCTCTTACTGGCACTTGGAATGGCTCAGATCCCATCCAATTTGGGGACAAGACTCAGCCTATATTTATGATCAACAACATGATGTCCCCAGATGGCTGCCTGAGAGGATTGTTAAACAAGTTACCACCATCCCCTCTAATGACCTAATGTCCAGATGGGAATAATTCCCTCTGCCTGAGACTTCTTCCTCTTCTCCCACTGCTGCTAACCTAGATAGAGACGCTCCTAAGAATAATGACAGTGATGAAGAGTCCACCATCAGCTTGGCAATCTTCACATGAATGGATGTCTAACTCCCTTTTGCCCATTTCTTTCTCCTCTTGAACTCCTTTCAGCCCCATGCTGTCACCTTCCTCGAAGGCCTTCTATAAACGGACTGAGCCGTCACATCCCTTGGAACTATACTTGGGTGGTCCTCTCTGAAAGAGGAGACATAGTCTGGCCAGCCTCTTGTGTCCACAATATCCCTCGATGGCCTAAACAACTTAACACTGGTCTATGCAAACTAGACTTAGGTGCTGCTGCCCCATGGGGTACTGGGGGCCTCTTTGATCTGTCAGCCACACCATCCATCAACTCTGAGGGCTTCGTCTACACTGGCTGCTCCCTTCCAAGCTGACGGGCAGCCATGCGAAGATACACCTTTTATGTATGCCCAGGCCCCCATAGAGACCACAGCCTCCTACATAAATGCAGAGACATCTCTGAGTATTGCTGCAAACACTGGGGCTGTGAAACCACAGGTGACACCTATTGGAAACCCTCCTCCAGTTGGGACTACATCCCAGTCACTGCTGGATACCCTCATGCCACCTATTCCTACATTAATAAATATTATGAATCAATTTACACTATCCAGGCCCCTGAGGAATGCCATACATCATTTCCCACAAAAGGCTGGTGTAATCCTCTCAAAATTACCTTTACCACTCCTGGCTATCATGCCCCTAATTGGTATCGAGGATACACCTGGGGCCTTCACCTTTATAAAGAGGGATACAATGAGGGAATCACCTTCTCAATTAAACTCCCCAAAGAAATCCCCATTTACACCCCCACTCTTGCTATTGGTCCCAATGTTATTTTTGGTGGGGGGAACAGCTACCACCATCACTCATACTCCCTCCCTCAACAGGCTCACATCAAAAACCAGATAGCACCAGACCACCTAATCTTACTCCCCCACAGGACTAAAACCGAGGTTCCCACATGCACAAATCCCAGGACATTATTGTGACCCTCATCAATCAGACCTTCCTCGCACTAAATTCCACTACCCCCAAACTAGTTGAAGATTGTTGGCTGCAGTGTGTTTCCCTGGTTAGGCAAGGGACCCTGCCTTTTCCAGGATGGTGGGGGAAGGGAGGGGCATCTGCGGCCTGGGTGAAACCCAGGTTCCAGGTCCGATGAAAATCTGGATCCCACTTCTGACACCAGATATTGAGGTTTAATAAGGATCAGGAGAAGAAACAGATAGGCGGAATAGATGTTTATTCGGGAAGAAATAACTAACAACATAGACAGATGAACACCAGCAGGTTCCTCATCCCAAGGATGCCTCCGGATGTTCTCCTGTCCCTGTGCTGCAAGCAAGAGAACTCCCAGAGCCCCTTCCTCAGACTTAGTTCCCCCAGGTAACATCTGCCCCTGTCCTTCCCCCCAATGGGAGTGGTCTGTGCCTATAGTGTGGACAAAGTAAATATCTCACTACACTGATCTTCTGTACTACAGGGTGTTTTCTATTTGGACTGATTACTAGAAGGATTTTGTCGCTACAAAACTACTGATAAATGAACTAGTTTTCACTACATGTCTTTCTCAGCTTGCTTTCCCACACAACACCTACCACTACTATTATGGGCTGGACTATCCTACAACAATCATTTAACAAGAAAATGCATTACACATATGCTGTACTGGATAGTTTTGTCAACTTGACACAAACTACAGTAATTAGAGAGGACAGGGTATCAAGAAAATGTTTCCATAAGATCTGGCTGTAGCCAAGCCTGTAGAGCATTTTCTTAATTGTTGACTCATGGGAGTGAGCCCAATCCATTATGGGCAGGGCTATCCCTTGACGGGTTGTCCTTTGTTCTATAAGAAAGCAGGTTTAACAAGCCATGTGTAACAACAAGTCAGTAAGCAGCACCCCTCCATGGCCTATACATCAGCTCCTGCCTCCAGATTCATGACTTGTATGAGTTCCTGTCCTGACATCATTGGATAATGAATAGTGATCTAAGTGTAAGCCAACTAAGCCTTTTCCTCCCCTAAGTTCCTTTATGTCATTGTGTTTACTCACATAAATAGTTATCCTAAGTCACACACCCACAAACCAGTCTGATGGAGACAATTCCTAAATTTTGGGTTCTCTCTTCACAGGTGACTTGAGTTTGTTTCAAGCTGAAAAAAAAAAACTGACCAACATATACTGTATGAGTGGTCCACTATGGAACTGGATGATGTCTCCAAGAACAAATAGATGTTCAATAAAAGAAAAGTGGACAAATATCCACCAACATAAAGCTAGGGGAGCTGGGCAACAAAGTGAATGCTAGGATGATAAAAGCCACTAAGGACTGAGCATGCTCTGATGTTACATTCTAAAAATATAACAAAACAAATTGCACTGAAGTTCATGTAGATACAACAAATTCCCGGAGATTGATAGCCAAATAATCTAACATTGAATTGGATCATTACTGGAAGTAAAAGTAGAATCTATACTTGGAATTCATTTCTTTCTTTCTTCCTTCCTTCCTTTATTTACACAAAAACACGGGAGTTCTACATGGTGAGAAAGCTCCCTTATATGTTAAAAAGCACCTCAGCTCTAGCCCTTGACCATGTGTATATTTACACCATGGAGAATTTTTCATGATTTCATAGACTCCATAAGGCACCTGGTATATCACAATCAGAGAAAAATACATGAATCCACCCAGGTCTTCCTCAAAGACCTCAGATGTATTTAGTTATTAATGGAACAAATGACCCACTTTGTTAAAAAAAAATGCATGGATGAGAGGCAGAGGGGGATGGTACAAAAACATACTTGCATGAATACCTATTGACAATTATGACCTAAGAGGCAGACTAAGAATATTGCATATAACAAATACATTGAAGAAAAAACATGTATATTGTGGGAGATACTGTGAAACAAATCTAAATTGAATAGTTCCATTTGAAGGAAAACCCAAGAAGTAAATGACTCAAAAGTCTTAAGAGGGCCCTGAAATTTAACATATTCAGGACCCTTCTCCCCCAAAGTTGCATATACAGTAAGAAAAGAAGAAGAGAGGAGACTATCAAATCTGTTGATCTGCTTTCAGGACTGGAGTGGGTTTTTGTGTAATGGGTCTGTCTTTGAGTTTTTCATACTCCTGAAAGTAATCTTTCACCATACTACTACAGGAAACATTAGTCACCTCACTGGTTCATCAAGTTATACCTAAGCAGAATAGTTTTGTTATTATTGATATCCTCTCTAAAGTAATTTTTGTTCATATCTCCCAAACAGGGAGTGGAAAGAAAACTTCTGAGGCTGCAATAATGGGGGATAGTTGTCATGTTTAGAAGATATGAAGTAGTAAGAATATGATTCATTTTTCTACAGGATAGTACAGGAGAATATGGGCATACAAGGATGGAATGAGTTTAAAATACTCAGAAAAAAACTGGACTTAAAAGAACTGAAGGAGAGAGCACAGACATGTGGGAAAAATGATCAAAAGTAATAATTCTGATACTGCATGTGGAGATTTCTTACAGCAGTCTCTCAACTTCAACAATTCAGGGAAATTTTATGTGAAGAGAAGTTCTTATCATGACATAAGGAACAGGTTCACTATCATAGAATTTTTGTTTTTATTTTTGATTTTGTTTTGTTTGTTCTTTTAATGGATTTAGGAGATGATGTAAGGGGGTCAATGTATTCTGACATTCATTTCCATATCTACTATGTTCCCAGATTATTTTCCTTGAACAACAGTAATTAACATCCATAACTCATAAGGATAAGTGTGCAAGAATTTATTTAATGAAATCCATAAGCCACTCAATGAAATAGACATCATTGGTCAAGGTTCTGAATCAGAAAATTTTAGGAATTTGTCTGAAGAATATTTGTGATTACTCCTTATAATTTTGGATTTTCAAGTTTATGTAAGTTGGAAATTTGTTTTAAATAGCAGAACACATTCGGGAATGTGGGGGGAGAGTGAAAGAAAGGGAGATTGTGCCACCCACTAAAAATAATATAGAAGAAAGAGTTGCCATTTCCAGTGCAGTGCCGACTTTCTGGGTATCTGGGAAAGAGGGTGTATGGAAAGAAGGAGGAAAGACAATCCCATCCTTGCGAATGATGGATAAATAATTATACAGGACAGAAATGAAGACAAAGCTGCTAGCAATGATGTTCAGAATCCCTGGAAAGAAGAATGGATTGTAGGTGGCTTTCTTCGGGATTCCCGCTGAGTACAATTTCCAAAGAACAACAACGACAGAGACTGTCGAAATCATGCCGAGAAAGCTGGAGATCAGTAGCAGGTGTTGAGCCACACGAATATCCAAAGGGATGAAGGTATCCTGATAGGTATATTGGAAACATGCTCTTAAAATATTGGAATTCTTTTCCTCGTGGTACACACAGGTTCTCCACATACCCACTAAAGTCATGCTGGGCTTGTTATCCATTGGATCTTGGAAGAACCACACTCGCCATTGAGGAAGGCTCATAGAGACGCTACAAAGGATCCATGCTAGTATGGCCGCAGCAAAGCCTCCTAGGTGCCGGCTGGCACGCCTGCTGATCATTATAATGGTGACACTGAACACTGGCAACTGCAAAGAAACACAGGACATCATGAGGATGGGCTATTCGGGCCTGACAATTGTCCCCTGTTGGGACAGTATGAAGAGAGAAGCATTAGATTGAACAGGTGTACCTTTGACCAGAAAATCTGCAGGGAGTGTGTTCTGACCATACTCAGAAGAGTTGGCTCTGTGGCAACATTTGCTAGCATGTTAATAATCCACACAATATCTACAATTTTCTTCTTTCACTAATTACAGACTCACAATGAAGTTTGACCCCAAATATTAAGTCATCCAGATTGTCATCACATCATGAAATTTCATACTGAAAATATGAAGCCCTTTCAAGTCTGACAGTTGAATAATTTATGAAATATCTGTACCATGAAGTTATATGTCAATTGTAAGTATTGAAGTGGATTAAAGTGGAATCATACATTTAGAGTTTGCTGTGTTTTTTTGTTTGTTTGTTTTTGTTTTTGTTGCTGTATTTTGGTTTTTGGTTGTTTTACTATGTTCTACGGTTCTGTATCCCAGACTAACCCAGAACTGTGTCCCTAGTCTGGCCTTCAGACACAGGCAATGCTGGTGCCTCTCCTTTTCAACTGTTGTATTAGAGGAAGGAGTTGCCACAACAGCTTACTAATATCATATTTTCAAACTCCATCAATACTATAGCCAGGGTAAGCAGTTTGTCCTTAATGTATGGATGACTTGTGTTTCTCTGCTCCATCATCGAGTTTTGGATTAATACCAAGCTTATCATGGAAGGAGTCCTGTGCATGAGAATATATATGCATGATCAGGCATATATAAATCTTTGTTTTGATATGGATTCTTGTTTCTCTTCTGCATAGCCTAAGGAGCAGAATTGGGGTTGATATGCATACTTTAAAATTTAATAAACTATTTTACCAACTGATTGACCTATTTTTGTAATCCTAGGGTAGCATGATATGAAGGACTCAGATTCTACAAAACTTTTCTCACATTGGTTATCTCAAAATCTAACATTCTAATACTAATAAACTATGAATGAGTGAAAAGTTCTAAATCAATAGAGAATTAGCTTATTCTGGCGAATACATACAACAAGAATTTATAATTCATATTATCTTGATGCAAACCATTCACTGGTCTGCTGTCAAGCATGTCCAAACCTACCACTATTTAGATACTGAGGATAATGTCCACCTGCATTTATATGTGAAATACAGAGAAAATTATAAGTGTATACCTTGTATGGTGATTACATTGTCCACTTGACTTAGTATAAAATAATCTAGCATAGGAGTCTCCCTGATGATTTGTCTAGATTATATTTTCTGCGGCATATCTGTGAGGGATTTTTTTATTGATTATATTAAATGAGGTAGGAAGAATTTCCCTGGTTAGGGGTGAGAAGCTGGTACACCACTCTCTTGGAAGGGACCAGAGTCTGCACTATATATGAGTGGAGAAAATTATTTGAGTGCAAGCATGAATGTATTCATTCACTGCTGTTTTTCCCTGATTGTGATTATAATGTGACTAGATGTTTTAGGTTCATGCCACTTTAGCTCTGTCACAATGACAGAATTATTAATCCAATAATCACTATTTCTTTTACATTGCCATTCCAGAGTATTCTATCATAGCAACAGAAGCAGAAATTGAAACAATATTATTTACTTATTTATAATTTAGCCTATCATGAAATATGCTATGTATGTATATGACAAGATGTAGCTGAATCCTGACATTACTGATGATTTTTCTTCTTCCCCTTTATTTATTTTGTTATATAGAAACTAGTAGGTTTAATTGTTCATTAAAAACGAATTAGAACTAAAACTTATTAAAATTATCATGGCGTTAGTTGTTTTGTGTAATTTTTCTCATTAAAATTTCAAATGTAAAAATATATACTGCATGAAATTATAAAAGAATAAAATTTTTATATTATTTATTTTACATAACCAAGTCATTTAAATGAAAACAAACATTTATAGACAATATTTGGGAATTTGGGCGTTGTTCTTCCCATACTACTTCCTGCTGGTAAGGGGCACTGTCATGGGGGATAATAAGAAGATGCAGAAATCCTGGCTGTAGTCTGTAAGGCTGCTTTGTTCAGCTGTTTTGAATGTAGGATCACCTGGTACTATGTTTCAGGCAGTCTGGCTTGATCAAACTACATTAGTCTGGAAGGAATCCACAGCTTTTCATTTTCTGTGGAAACGAAAATAGAAATCCTTTTCCCCAGCAACTTGTCCCTGAACTTTAATTTTGGAGTCAAAGCATTTTTTTAATTTAATTTATTATTTTACATGTCGATTCCAGTTCTCTCTCCCTCCCTCCCCCTCACTCCCTCCATCCCTCCCTCCCTTTGACTCTCTCTGCCCTCTCACTTGCACCCTAACCACCCTCCCCTCCCATCCCCCCACTCCAATTCCATATGTAGGGGAATGCCATCCAGTTGGGGTCACATAGATCTGACAGGTCATGTTAAGTACGGACTAGGGCTTCTCTCCTGTCTCTAGATTAAGGCAAGTATCCCTCCATGGGGGATGAGTTCGCAAGGTCCTTTTGTGCACCAGGGATACATCCTGGCTCCACTGTCTGAGGTCCCTTAGACTGCTCTGTCCTTCTGGCTGAGACCCATATTCAGAGGGGCCTGATTCAGTCCCATGCTGGCTTCCCAGCTATCAGTCTGGTGGCCCGTTAGCTCCTCCTTGTTCAGGTAAGCTGTCTCTATGTGTTTCTGCCGCCTGGTCTTTATTAATAGGGTTATTTGGTGTTTTGTTGACTAGTTTCTTGAGTTCTTTGTATATTTTGGAGATCAGCCCTTTATCGGATATAGGATTGGTGAATATCTTTTCCCAGTCTGTGGGCTGCTGTTAGGTCTTGTTGACTGTGTCCTTTGCCTTCTAAGTTTGAAGAGGTCCCATTTATTAATTGTTTCTCTCAGTGTCTGTGCCCCTGGAGTTATGTTCAAGAAGCAGTCTCCTATACCAATTTGTTCAAGGGTACCTCCTACTTTCCCTTCTAAGAGGTTCAATGTGGCTGGATTGATGTTGAGGTCTTTGATCCATTTGGACTTGAGTTTTGTGCATGGCGACAGACATGGGTCTATCTGCAGTCTTCTACACATTCTCATCCAATTGTGCCAGCACCATTTTCTGAAGATGCTGTCCTCGCCCCATTGTATAATTTTAGCTGTTTTGTCGAAAATCAGGTTTTCATAGGTGCGTGGATTAATATCAGGATTTTCATTTCGATTCCATTGGTCTACCTGTCTATTTTTATGCCAATACCAGGCTGTTTTCAGAACTATAGCTCTGTAGTAGAGCTTAAAGTCAGGAATGGTGATGCCTCCTGAAGTTCTTTTATTGTATAGGGTTGGTTTTGCTATCTGGGTCTTTTGTTTTTTCCATATAAAGTTGATTATTATCCTTTCAAGGTCAGAGAAGAATTATGGTGGGATTTTAATGGGGATTGCATTGAATCTGTAGATTGCTTTTGGCAAGATTGCCATTTTTACTATGTTTATCCTACCTATCCAAGAGCATGGGAGAGCTTTCCATTTTCTGGTATCTTCTTTAATTTCTTTCTTTAGAGTCACAAAGTTCTTATTATATAGGTCTTTTACTTGTTTGGTAAGCGTTACACCAAGATACTTTATGTTGCTTGTGGCTATTGTAAATGGTGATGTTTCTTTGATTTCTTTCTCTGTCTCTTTGTCGTCTGAAAAACGTAGGGCTACTGATTTTTTTGAGTTTATCTTGTATTCTGCTAGTTTGCTGAATGTGTTTATCAGCTGTAGGATTTCGCTGGTAGAGTTTATGGGGCGCTTATGTAAACTATCATATCATCTGCGAATAGAGACAGTTTGACTTCTTCCTTTCCAGTTTTGATCCCCTTGATTTCCTTTTGTTGTCCTATAGCATTAGCTAGAACTTCTAGTACTATATTGAAGAGATATGGAGAGTGCAGCCTTGTCTTGTTCCTGATTTTAGAGGAATTGGTTTAAGTTTCTCTCCATTCAGTTTGATGTTGGAAGTTGGTTTGCTGTATATTGCATCACTGTTTGTTTTGTTTGGTTTCTACTTTTCTTTCTGTGGAATAGAGGTTTCATGATGTAGGCCAAGCTATTATCGAATTCAGTATATAATCCATGTTGGCCTCAAACTTGAGGAACTTCTCCTGCTTCAGACTCCCAATTGCTAGGATTACATGTATGGACCACTATGCATGGCTTATATAAGGTTGATGCTATTATTTGTTGTGGTGGTGGTAGATGTAGTAGTGTTGGTGGTGGTAGTTGTGGATTTGTTTATTTTTAAGTTTTGTAGATTAAATCCAGGGTCTCATATATGACCCTCAATTAGTTTAATACCTATCTAAATTCCCATTCCTAAAAGTATGTTTTCCTGGGTTAAATTTTCAATTACACTCTACAAGATAACCTTTCTCTCCATGGCCCTACCACAGCCAGGGTTATGTATTAATTTCCATAGCTTCTGATATTATTGAAGGTCATGCTGATGCCAGGTGTCTAGTCTACCAACTGGGGCCACATTGATTTCTGCGAGCCATAGTGCCACAGGAGCCATGCCAATTCAAGTGGCCTAGACTGTCATTTGGGGCCAACTGAGCCAAGGCTGCTGCCTAATGTCTGGGTCTGTGGTCTTACCACAGCCAGGTTCTGTATGAATGTCTGTAGCTCATGTTGCCACCAAAAGCCAGATGGATGCCCCAAACACTTGGTGAGTTCTCCTGTGCTACCTAGGTGAGGGGCAAGCAGGGCCTGCTTTCCTGAATGCTGCAGTTGTTAAGGGTGAAGGGTCAGCTCTCTTATCTGTTGTAGGAAATAAGGGGCCAAGGGGTAAGGGGGCATCTCTCTCACCCCCGTACTGCCACATAACAGACAAGTAGTAGAGATAGCTCCCTCAAACTTATAACTTTTGGGCTGCTCCACCAACAAATCCACCAACATGTTTAGCTCTATTTTGTTGCCC